TTTTGCAGCCTTTACCTCTTTGTTTTTCCTGTCAAGCGGCTTGCGAAGGCCGTTCACTCGGAGCAGGGCCTAAGTAAAAGGGAACAGATGTCAGTTTCCAAACAAAAAACAAGCGTCCTGGAATTTAAATAACCAAAAATATGCTAAGTATACCTCAGCAAGGACCCCTGCAATCCCGTCTAGGTCAAGGGTGCTGACACCCCTGACCGCCTCCCTCTCAGCCGGAGGGACGACTTTGATCATAGACTTGGCCACCTCGACCAAGTCTGGCTCCTGAGGGCCGGCTGCATCAAGCATAAACAAACGAGTTAGACCTAGTAAAGAAGGGAGCAAGTCTAAATTCACGAAGACAGCTTCATACTTCTAGGCGGCCCGATTGGAGTTTTAGAAGGATTGGACGGCTGTTTCTCAGCGGCCGCATTTTTCCTGGTAGAACCAGGAGAGCTCGCAACAGTCGTCCTCCGGGTCTTGGAGTCCGGCTTTGGGAAGAAGAGGCTCTTGGAGTGTCCGTCTAAAAAAAAAAAAAACACTCGGTCAGTATATGCATAAACCCAACTCCAAAAAGAGAGTGAAAGGTTCGGAGCTCACCAAGGGCGCCCCCTTGTTGGGGGAGTCGGTTGAGGATTGTTGCATGATGGAGGCTCGCAACATGGCCGCCGCAGTCTTAGAGGCGGTAATTTTGCTCATGGCGTCCGCTGCAAGAACAAATAGCAAAGTTAATAAAAATTCATAACAAGTAATGCATGGAAAATCAGAGTATTCGACAGGCCGGCTACCTCTTGAGCATCAACTGCTGAGGCCACTGGCGGCCAAAAAGTACTCGTCATAGAGCCATTTGAAGCTCGGGACGCAGTGCAGGGGTACTTGCTCTCGTACCCCTGTAGTAGAGTCGACCCTCGACTCTACTTTAAAGAGTCCTTTGTCCAGGATCTCTTTCTTGGCTTTGGGGGGAACAAGCAGCATGCTGCGGCCGCCTGCAAGAAGAGGCGGATTCCTGTTCCACCTGTTGAAGCGCTTGTTCAGCTCTGTGTCTGAACTTTAAATGATAAGGAAGGTGCTTCGCCAATCCTTCCACTTGTTTGCTTTACCTCTTGTCATGAGGTAGCCTCTGTGGCTCGTCAATTGATACCAGCCGGTACCGCCTGCCTTAGGGGTCCGGCTGAGGTAGTTCATGTGGGCGAAAGCCTCGAAGTTTGGCTCCACCCCGTGCAGTTCGCACCCGGCCACAAAGCCGAGTACGTTGACCCAGGAGTTTGGGGCTAACTGTCATAACCCCAACTCATACCCATCCAAGATCCGCTGAACAACCGGATGTAGTGGGAAGCGCAGCCCAGCCCTGATGGCCGCCTCGTAGCAGCCAAAGCAGGCGCCATCATAACTAGTATCAGCCGACCAGACGACTGTGTCTTCTGGATCCGGCACGAAAACTAAAAAGCCGGGGCCCATTGTGTGGTTCGCAAGAAAGCTCCCCACTCTCTCTTGCATGGCCGTGATCCGGCCCCGTGGGACAGTGCAGTAGTAGGGGGTATTTTGCTCTCGGTAAGAGGCGGATGGCTCCGCCCAATTGTCCCCCTTCTCAACTGCGTGAGAAAGCCTCGCCTCTTGTAGGCGGCTGTTTTTCTCTTCTGTGTCCAGAGAAGCATGACCAGAAGAGCTAGACTCGGATTCTTCCTCTGACGAGTCCGAAGAGGACGACTCCTCCCTTCTCCCAGAGGGGCCTGCCTTCTCTCCTTCAAAAGGAGCAGGAGATAATGTAGACTTGTCAACTGTAAAATTGGAAGGGGTCACTTTGACTCCTCCCTTAGAATTGTCGGCTTTCAAGCCGCTTTGGTTCACTTCCACATCTGGCGCCTGGTCAGATGTTTCACTAATCGGCACCCTGTGGGAGGAGCCGTCTGAGTTCGAAATCCTAGCAGTTCTTTTTGTTCTGGCCATCATGTTCTGCATAGACACAGAGACAGTCGGACTTTGTATAAAGGGCAAAGATGGGTCCGGAAAAGGGCAGGCGGCACTCCTAGTCCTAGATTCAGCCGTCCCCGGTGACCGGCTGATCACTAACCTAGGCCGTGTCGTGTGCTTCCGTGGTGCCATTTCAAAAAAGAATAAAATAAAGAGAAAATTAAGAGTAAGAGAACCGACGGTTACCTGAACGAGTGAAGTTGACGGAGTTCTGGAAATCCTGTGTAGTCGGCTTGTCAGAGCAGGTGGTAGGCATAAAGGGTCCGAAATGTCAGAGCAAGTTCAGGGGTCCGAATGTTCTCTCTAAAAAGTTCTCAAGTGTGAAAATGACTGAAGTCCACACACCCTTATATAGGCGAAGTGAGAAGGCGAAGGGTCACTTCCAAAATTCAAAATTTGGGCGGAAGAATCTCTCGGCCTTTCGCCGAGTGACACCTGTAGCAGGTCGTCGCCTGTCACGATGCGACACCTGTCACAGGTAACACGTGACCAGTCACGTGCCACCTGTGAGGGGCAAATGATTAGGGGATTTTGCTCCCACCAATCGGAATGCGCCACGTGGGCCAATCAGGTCTTGCCAAGTGTCCACCAGTTGGAACTGTCAGGGTTTGCCACGTGGCACACGCCTATTTGTCCACCCTGGACCTATTATTTCATGACACGTGGCATCCTCCATGCCTAATGGAAAAACCGGCCACCTAGGCCCAACTTCCAAGGGAAGCCCAATCAGCCCTAGGTTAACCTAAACCTAGGATTGGCACGTTTCCCAAGGTTATAAATACCTCCCTTAATCCTCATTAAGGGGGATTACGCACATTTAACACTCTCACCTAGAGAGACCCTATCACTTTTATTTCCGCATTAATTACTCCTTAATCAAGTACTAACTTGACCGTCGGAGGCGAATCTCCAATCATCCGAAGCGTCCGTTTGTTTTGCAGGTACAGGCGTCCGGTTCCAGTCTCGGAATTGTAACTCTCCCGCACGACATCAGAAAACCCCGAAACAACCGGCAGGAGAAGAATTTGTGTGAACGGTTCCAAGATTTAACTCGCTCTTGATACCATGACAAATTATTTATGAGAGAATAGCTTGAATTGTATTGATGATCTTTGGTAATAATTATAGCATACAAAAGATAACCTACACAATATAAACTCTATCATATAAACTTCCATAAATCTATCTTAGAATATCACTAAGATATATTATTATCCTAAATATAATATCATAATATCTATATGGAAAATATATCACAATAATATATTTTCCTATATTCCTAACACAATCTTACCACTAGACCAATTAGCTTAGCTTGATTGGTGGATTGGAGACATGGCGTTAGTAGTTTGTGTTACCAAATACGAATTGAAGTACGTACTTGGTATACATATCTTCTACCTTCTTCTCACTATATGATTTCTTATCTTCTTAATCTTCTTCCTTATTCCCCAATTTCTTCCTATCTTCAATTTTTCCTATATACAAGAAAGTTTGGGATCCACAAATTACTTCCAGATTGTCCACAAGCAAATTACTTTCAAGTTAATAAAATATCTGAAATTGGATGGCTTAGCTTCCTCTATAAATCTATAATATGTATTACTTCCTATATATATACAAGGCTTAACCAATTTAGTGACGGCTAAACCGTCTGACCATTCAATTGGCCTTTTAACAACAATTCAATTGTGGTATATTACCTCCGTTTTTTTAGTTGACACGTTTGGACTTTAGCACTATTCATACACCACCCTTTGACCATGTTTTGTGCTTCATATGTAATGAAAAATATAGACATGTGGGATCTTATTAGGTTCGTCACGTTATATATTTTCAAAATATCAACTTTTCATAATTTTTGCTTATTGATAATTAAAAATATTAATTATTGAATAAGTGCATTGATAAACGTGACTAAAGGAACGTGTCAACTAAAAAGAAACGGAGGAAATATATTTTACTAAGGTTTTGCTAAGATTACTATTATTGGCTTTATACTGTCGGTAAATACCTCTTATCTATCTTGTTGTGTACGTCTCATTCTCCCCAATCCCGGCTAATAAGTATTTTTTTTTTCTTCTCCAATTTCCCTTGAGAAATAATTTTAAAGCCCTCAACCATAATTTACTAGCTAGGGTTTAGCTTAGGTTGGAAATTAATGATTTCAATTTGAGAAAATAAATTTAATTAATTCACTAGTGACTCTAGATGGAATGAAGTCAATTAAAAGTGGAATATAGAAGGTGCAAGCTAAGTGAGATTTGGGGCCTGTTCATATTTACTGAACTGAACTAAACTGATTGGAGCTGAACTGAACTGAACTGATTGGAGCTGAACTGAACTGAACTGAACTAAACTAAGCTGAAATGAATATTTTATGAGAGAGGGAAATTAAGAGCTGAACTGAACTGAACTGAACTGATTGGAGCTGAACTGAACTGAACTGGACTGATTGGAGCTGAACTGAACTGATTGGGGTTGAACTGAACTGAACTGAAAATAAGTAAATATGAACAGGCCCTTGGTATGTAAATGTTGTTTTCAATCGCTTGAATCTTGACTTTTCCAATTAGAATAGTGAATTTAAGTACTCTGTTAATTTTTAACACTTTATTTAGTTGGAAATCAATTAATTTCTCCATAAAAACAAAAAAAAAAAATAACGAAAATCGTTTTACAAAATCATTAAATAAAATACTTCTAATAATTTTATTCAGAGTATTATTAGTTAGTTTTGTCTCTTCAAAGTAAATTTTTGTGCAAAATTTAAGCCACCAAAATGGATTTTACCTATATAGCACGACACTAAAATGGAAAATTTTCATCTATTAATAGTGTTAAACATCTTGAATTCATCATGCAAGTTTTCTTGTATTCCAATAAAACTAAAATGTTGCATATATTCCAATAAAACTAAGATCATCATGAATTATACGTGGTATATAATGTTGCATCGTATATAACCCTTATAAGTCAATTATCTGTTACTTGCAACTACCACTTTGTTTCATATAACAAGAAATTTCCAACCAACTACATAAATTATTATAGCCGTCAAACTATTCTCTTTTTTATTATTACAATTTTGTATTATTTTTTTTATTTTCATAAGTGTTATATTTTAATTTGAAACATTCTGCTTATGTTACCCTAATACGTCATGTAAACTCGTTCAACAAGCAAAACTAACGCGTAATGGCATAAGTTCATTATATTAATCGAAATTTGCAAATACTTAACAGCTAATTATATTAACATACATTATATATTTATATTACATCTTATCTAGAACGTAAATAGAAACTTTGGTCTATTCATTATATAACATCCAAAAGACAATAAATCTAATTAATTCGCTTAAGCAATGTGCAACAAAAATTGTTGTAATCATACACATCACGCATTAATATTCCTATTCATCCTTTGTCTCCTACTCTTGCTTAACGCCCAAAATCTCAACCTTTTCCACCCCAAATCAACGGATTCGACTAAGTCTTCATTGTCCACCACGGCCGGTGATGGCGGCGATGGCGGTCCATGCACGTCCGCCACCACCAAGATGGCCATGGCTTTTCTATCCGGTGCCTTATTTGCTCTATTTCTCATGATAGTCTCGAACAATATGGGGTTATCCTCTCCTAAACATAATGAGGATCATTTTCATGCGAGAGGGGCCCACTCTGGTGCTGGCCCCTCTCGCATGTCATACATGGAATCTATTGATGAGATTGATGATGAGGTGGTTGAAGGAGGTGGAGTTGGGATCGGATACAACTTGCTTAGGACGTTCCCGACGTTCGCCTACTCGGTGAGGCGGCCGCCGAAGATGGGCAAGGGATCACCCCTTTGTGTGATTTGTCAATATAAGTTTAGAGATGGAGAGTTGGTAAGATGTTTGCCTGAATGTGATCACATATTTCATCTTTCTTGTATTGATAAGTGGTTGACTTCTCATAAAACTTGCCCTTCTTGTCGTGATGATCTTGACATTATAGCTAATCATGGATCAACTTCAAATGGTATAACTTCTTCAATTGATTATTATGATTATTTCAATCAATATAATTTTTATCTAGGGTAGTATGTATCAGTTTTCGATTTTTGGTATCATTGCATGTGTACTTTGTAAATACATGTATTTGTTTTAGAATGATAAGACTTGACTTTAAAAATTGTTTGATCCAATCAAACTTCTGTGGGCTAATTTTCTACGAGAATGACAAGATTTGAATTTGTGACCTCAAATTCATCACAAGGTAGGATTCTAACCACCTACACCAAATTTAGTATTTTATGCTACAACTTTGTATAAAGTTAAAGATTTGCTTACATTATAGTATCATGTAATTAGCCTTAATTATTGAACGTTGAATGTATAAAGCATGGATAATAATGATCCCGAGTATTTTTTTTAGAAGGGTCATAGTTAGTGATATTTTGTAGTAAGGTTGTGCAAGAGTGGAGGTTAAAATATGTACATATGGTAACATTACTGGAGAAAAATTAGTTTTTATTATTGACTCTTGTTCAAACTGAATATTTACCCTTTATTTATGGAGTTAAACGTCGTTAATTATGTACTTGAGTTGACTTGACTTTTCGCTATTACTTTAAATTATTCGATCTGTAACTTGTATAATTAAGTACGTAGCAAATTAAAGCTAGCGGAATGATTCTTGTCAATGGTAGCGGAGTGTTAATGATTAATTTCGATTGGTTTTTGATTTGGTCTTATAAATGTGAACTGTACGTTGTAATTTGGTGTTTGAAACATTGTTGGTAATTTATTTCTTTATTGCTAAACAATAGGAGGATCTTTTATCAAAATGGCTAATGTGATAAAAGTATTTATCAAAACGACTAATTATAAATTTTATTTTTAAAACTAACTAGATAATTGATTAAGAAGGAAATTAGCTATTTCTTATTTTCCTTTGAACCGGTTTGGTTCATTTTATTATTATTTTTTTTATTTTGTTTAATTTTAATTTTAATTTAGGATTTTTTTTAAGTTGAAAAATTTAAGTCATATACAAATATACAGAGTAATTTTGATCACACAAAAAAAAAAAAAAAAACGCCTAGATTCTATCACAAAAATTTGAAATTGTAGTATTGTTCTATCAACAAATCGCAAATTTATACGACAATAACGGTTTTTAAGGTATTGTTCATCTTTACATGCCTCTTAATTGTATCTACTCTATGTTACTGTCGACTAATTTGAATATTTTTGAGTTTAATGTGTGTAATAAATCAAACTTACATATATTTATGTGATATATTTTGACTGACAATGAATATGTTCTTAGTTGATTTTTTTTAGATCAATTTTTTGAGTGAATTTTTTTTTTTTTAAAATATATTTTTATTTTGTGTAACTTTTAAAAAAAATGCTGATGTTTGCATCACTGAATAAAGTAGAGTCTCCTGAGAATTGTTACAAATATATTACGTTCAATGTTATTTTTCAAATTAATGGGATATTTTAAACTATGGCATTAGAATTTCCCAAAAAACTAAAAAACCAAGATAATAATATTAAATAAAATAAAAAACCCATAAAGTGAACCAAATTGGTTCAAAGAAAAATAAGAAATAATTTTTTTTTGAGAGAAAGTAACGGTGTATTAATCAATTAAAGGACAAAATGTCCGAGAGTACATAAGGTGAAATCTCCGGAGGACAATGATTCTCCCATACTTGTTCTACACCGCTAGGCAAGAGCTTGGCTAAGTGATGAGCAACAAAATTGCCATCTCTTCTAACATGACTCCAAGCTATTGAATTAAAACTAAGGCTTAAAGAAAGAAAATCTTCTAACACATTATCCAAATCAGAGAGAAAGACATCAGCTTTCGAAAGGCGATTTACAAGCCCCTGGCAATCGGTCTCCACTATAATATCATTGAATCCGTAAGCTTCCGCAAGCCTGGCTGCCATACACACGGCCTTCGCTTCAGCTATCTCTGGCGACCACCAAGCACGGACCCTTCTGGTCGCTGCCATAAGGACCTTCCCCTCACAATCTCTTGCGACCACACCCATCCCCACCCAGCCCTCAATAGCAAGGGATGCGTCCGCATTGATCTTAATTGCTCCAGCAGGGGGTGGTTTCCAGATCTTGCTGCTTCTCTTTGCTTTGGGCATATTTGAGGTGTAAATTTTCTTACTATATTGCCCAAACTCCTCTACCAATCTGCCAACTCTGGCCGCAAGTACCCCATTTGGTGTCCATGTGCCTTCGAAAACCTTCTTATTTCTGTCACCTCACACACACCAAGCCAAATAAGCAGCCCTCTGTTGTAGCTTTGCACTTGCGTTCTTCCAACTGAGCAATAATTCACAAGGATCCCCTACAGCTCTTGCACAGAGGGAGGAGCAGCCACAATCTTCCCAAAGCTCCTCAACTCGCACACACTCAAAAATAGCATGGAAGCCCGTCTCCACCTCTCCACACCACGGGCAGCAGGCTTCCTCAATCATGTGTCGCGCCATAAGGAGGCCTTTTGTGGGCAGAGTACCCGTACAAAACCTCCATAGAAATTGCCGCACCTTAGGTGATACTTCTAGGCTCCAAATAAAAACCCACACTTGATGAAAATCATCAAAATTGCAGCCCTTACCCAACATGTATGCATTCTTAGTCGAGTATAAACCATCTTTAGAGAAAGCCCATGTCAAAGCGTCCTTGGGTTCTCTCCAGCTCAATGGAAGTGCTAGAATGCACTTTTGATCTCTCGCGTTAAAGATACGAGAAATTAGCTCTACATTCCAATCCATACTCTCGAAATTTATCAGGTCGCACACTTGAGTAACATCACCACACTCGGCAGTAGTGATAAATCTGCCACATTCATCCGCCACCCACGGGTCCTTCCATATACTCACTTGAGTGCCTGTCCCTATTCTCCAAATAACACCTTCTTTCACCAACGATTTTTCGCTCCACACACTTTGCCACGAGTAGCTACCCGCATGCCCAAGTGAGGCTTCGAGAAAAGAGCAGTTTGGGTAGTACTTCCCCTTCATGACTTTGCTTAGGAGTGAATTCTCGTTGTGCACCAATCTCCACGTTTGACGACCCAAAAGGGCATCATTAAACACACTTAAATCTCTAAATCCCATACCTCCTAAGCCCTTAAGAGTACAGAGAGTACTCCAACTCCTCCAATGTGTCTTTCGACGAGTATCCGAACTACCCCAAAAAAATTGTGCCATAGCACTATTAATTTTCTTAATCACCGAGAAAGGGAACTTATAAACTCCCATAAGGTAAGTAGGGATAGCTTGTATTACAGATTTTAGGAGCACCTCTTTTCCGGCTCTAGAAAGGAGTTTTTCTTTTCATCCTTGTAACTTCTTCCAGATTCTATCAAGCAATGCCTCAAACACCACCCTTTTCGATCTCCCTGGAGAAGTTGGAATGCCAAGATACTTCTCATGCCTATCAACCTGCCGCATGCTCAAAATATTCATCAAATCTTCTCTCTGCTCTTGTTTAACACCTTTACTAAAAGACACCTCCGACTTTTCATAATTAATTTTCTGTCCGGATGCTGCTTCATATTTGTTGAGAATATCAACAATTTTTTCGCATTCCTGTCGGTTGGCTCTAGCAAAAAGTAGACTGTCGTCTGCAAAAAGAAGATGAGAAATTACAGGACCCCTGCGACTGGCTCTAGCTCCATGTAACTCTCCATTTATCACTTTATTCTTCAACATCAGAGATAAGGCATCGACAACTAAAATAAAGAGATAAGGGGATAGAGGATCCCCCTGCCTTAGACCCCTAGTAGGAGTCACATCACCACATACTCTTCCATTAACAATAAAAGAGTATTTCACCGAAGACACACAGTTCATGATCAAGTTCACCCATCTCCCATCAAAACCCATAGTGAGCAACAGTTTCTTCAAAAATCCCCATTCAACCTTGTCATAAGCTTTACTCATATCAAGCTTCAAAGCAATCGTTCCCTTTCTAGCCTTACTCCTCTTTTTCAGGTATGGAATAATTCCATAGAAATAAGCGCATTGTCAGTGATTAGTCTGCCCGGAACAAAAGCACTCTGATTTTCTGATACAACCCCCGACAAAATTAATTTCAACCTCATCACAATCACCTTCAAAACAAGCTTATACAGTACATTACACAGGCTTATGGGACGAAATTCCGAACAAGAAGTTGGAGACTTTATTTTAGGGATTAAAGCAATATTAGTTCTATTAACATGCTCAAGACTAGTACGACCATTTAGAACATTGCTAACAAAAGTAGTCACATCATCACCAACTATATGCCAAATTTTTTGATAAAAGATAGCATGCATACCATCTGGGCCCGGGGCCTTGCAAGGGTGCATTTGTTTTAGAGCATCGAGAATTTCAGCCTTTGTATACGGTTTTGACAAATCCAAATTTTGTTCCGGAGTGATAGAAATCGGCAAATACTGAAGCACTTCTTGGAGAGCCTCGGCAGAAGACCCATTGGTTTCAAACATATCTTTGTAATACTCAGTGATGACTTTCTCCACCTGCGACTCTTCGGTCTGCTATGTACTATTCGAATCAAATAATCCATGAATAGCATTTTTTGCCTTCCTTTGAGAGGCTTTGTGGTGGAAGTACTTCGTGTTTTGATCCCCATCTCGAATCTCAGCAACTCTCGACCTCAAGAACCAATGAGCTTCTTGCTTCTCATTTAATTCCTGAAGTTCTTTCTCCAATCTCACGCAAGACTCACAGTTGCTTTGAGAAATCGGCAATTGATGGGATGCTCTAAGTGTCGCCTGCTCTTTCTCCTCAATTTTCGTGCCAATATCATCGAACTTTTCTCGACTCCAAGACATTAATTTCTTCCCAACTGTCATCAATTTCATCATAATATCGGAACCCACTTCTTCCTCCCATGCGCATCTTATGGTAGCTTCACAGTTTGCATCCAACATCCAAGCAGTTTCAAATCTAAAATTCCTCTTCTTCTTTTTTCGCTTGCTTTGTTTCTCCAACCTCAGCAAAATAGGGGTGTGATCTGACTGCTTTTTTAGAAGATGCTCAACATATGCACACGGATAAAAGCGAGTCCAGGAAGAAGTGGCAAGATATCGATCAAGTCTTTCTCGAACCCGGGTAGCTATAGTCACACCCCTCTCCCAAGTCCACCATTGGCCTCTAAACCCCAAGTCCCTCAACTCACACACATCCAACATCTCTCGAAAGCCAGCCATCTCCCTCCTCTCCCTAACCGACCCCCCTTCCTTCTCCTCATAAGTAAGAATCTCATTAAAATCACCCCCAAAAATAATTGGAATTTGAGCTTCACCACATAAATGTTGAATGAGGCTCCAAGTTCGACATTTATTAGCAATCTCCGGCCACCCATAAATACCTACAAACCTCCATTTTTTCCCTTGCCTCTCCACGTCACCACATATATGATTTTGCGAGAACAACACAATAGAAAAATCCACCTTATCCGCATTCCAATACAAACACATACCTCCATACTTACCTACACTAGACACGCCAAAGGCATTGGAAAAACCAATCCTATCTTTTATTCCTTCTATTTCAGCTTTATTAATCATGGTTTCTGAAAGAAAAACCATGTCCGGGCCATGAAGATTGCTCCATTTCCGGAGCCTTCGAACTGACCAAGGGTTTCCCATCCCTTGGCAGTTCCAACATAGGAGACTCATTGGACCTGGCGGGGTTGGTCCTCGCCAACCTCCGCCATAATATCATCCTCGTAAGTGTTCAAAAACACCTTTGATCTCTTCTCCTCTATCTCATCTACTCCCACGCCTCCTGCCAGCAACTCCTCCACCCTTCTTTTTTGGTTTAAATCTATCCCTCCACTCCCCTGCTTTTTCTCTCCTTTCTCTATCCTCTTCCACGACTTCTTCCCAATTGGAGCAGTAGCAGCTTCTTTTGTAGAACTGAAGGAAAAAGGAGGCAAAGCAAGGTCTTTATCCTTCTCTATCTCCTATGGTCACAAGTCAATTACTTCCTGTCATCACCGGAGCTTCTTTTTCTCCACTAACCTTATTGATGGATGAAACAACTAAAGCATTCTCATGTTCCTGTTGCCCCTTATCACACATATCCCCTTCTCTTGTAATAAATAGTTTCCTTCTGCCTTTCAACGCCTGTGAAACCTCTTCAAGCTCCTTCGCATACCCTTTTCTAGGAGAGGCTCGAAGATACAAACCCCACCCTAACCGACTCTCCTTCTCTTCTTCTGTCACTGCCAAGCAGTCCTTTTCGGAGTGTCCTATGACTCCACAAGCAAAACAGAAATACGACAACCGCTCATACTTGTATTCCACCTTAACTTTGTTGCCTCCTCTGTCCTTCACCCATTGGTATCTGCGCAAGGGTTTTGATGTATCAATCAATACACGAACTCTTCTAAAGCGATTCAATCCCAAGAGATCATCCTCTATTTCCATCACTTCTCCAAGTCCAGCAATAAAGGTTTTAAGATAATTATTTGTTCTGCAATTAAAAGGCAATTTGCTAACCCTAATCCAGAACGGTGAGAATTTCAAATCAACCTGGTCCGGCTGTTCATCGCCACTTACTTCATTAAGAACAATTAAATGATTGTCCCAGCACCAAGGTCATCCCTTGAGAACCTTTTCTTTATCCTGCCAATGGAAAAACTGGAAACCATAAAGATTAGGGCTTAAAACCCTAACAATCATCCTCTCCTTAGGCGCCCAAACCTTCAACATCGTTCGTTTAAACGCCTCAATATTGTATGGTCTAGCAGTGCATAATCGTCCCACCAAGAGCAGAGCAAGGTTTTCTTCCGACTCTGTACTTTCAACGTTCCCTAAGTCAATTAAACTACCTTCCTCCTCTTCCAATCGTAAAGAGGAGCATTTTTCAATCAGTTCCTCCGCCATAACGCCGGAGATCAGCACGTTCGAGACAACGGAGGTCGTTCCTTTCTTGCGAGGAAGCGCAACCCTATCTTTCGAGGGAGATTACAAGTATTTCTAAACCCCGTTGATTATTCAATTTTTCATAAATAAGAAATAAATAATTTCCTTTCAAGTCAATATTTTAGCTAGTTTTGGAATTGAAATTTATGATTAGCATTTTTGTAAATACTTTTCTAAAATTAACCATTTTGGTAAAAG